TGATGTGACCCTCAGCCAAAAGTTGTTTGTATTGCAATTCTACATAACATATTCTTTTTCTGGAAAATTTTTATTTCCGGTTTTTTTTTTTTTTTTTGCGCTGAGGCTGCCCTGAACCTTGCCCGGGGGTCATGCCCGGGCGGGCACCCGGGCGTGTATCCGGCCACAAGTTGGGTGCCCGAGCGCCCGGAAAAACAACCTAGGTTTCCCAGCCATTTTGCGGAGCCGGGCCGTGCATGTTGGTGCGTCGGGCGGGATGCACCGTGTCATGGTGGGGTGGAGTTTCGCCCGAGAAATCCATCCAGGCAAATCGGGCCTTGCACGCAAACCGCTTTGCCTGGATGGATTTCGGGCGAAACGGCACACCCCCGTGTTTTTTGTCCCGCCCGACACACGCCAGCATGCCTGCTGTGTTTCCGCAAAATGGCTGGCAAACGTACTGGTGGTTTAAACTTTAAACTACCACCCGTTCACATGAGCCTAAGTCGACGAAGTCAACCTTCCACGGCTTGCAAGCCTGCAACTGCGCTTTTTCAACATGGACGGCCACTTCTGCTACCGGCCCAGGCACGAATCAAAATGCTCTTTACTGCACATACGTACCGGTAAGAGCAGAACTCTGCTTCGGGTGAACTGGCGGTTTAACGGCCTCTACCGTCTTCACCCGAATACAACGCCCGGACATTATCGCGGTACCTAGACTAAAAGTTGCACCAAATACGGCTATAATGACCGGGCGTTCTCTTCGGGTGAAGACGGTAGTCGTCGGGTAAAATCCTAAGCGACCAAGCTGTTCCAAACAACAGCAGCAGATAGACAAACCACTCCAAAGAAAAGGACAGTTAGGGAACGTTGGGAATTCAAATTTCAAATTTCAAACCCATTTACTCCAAACATCTTCCTCATAAGGCCAAAAAAAAGAGTGACTGTCGCAGGCAGCGAAAGATCCGATCCACGCATATGCATACTTACTTCTTAGGCAGGACTCTACGTCCGTTGCCCAGTTCCGACTCATGTACAATCGAAAGGGCCAACGTACACAGATGTTCAACATTGTGACATCCGATTCAGTTGAGGGACGTGTGGAGATATAACTCAGATGAGTTAACCGCTGAGATTGAACTTACCGGACTTGAAGCCCGCCGGTAAGTTGGTGGCAACCAAGATACAGACGAGTTAACCACTGAGACAGACTGGCTAACCTTTGACAAAAAAAAATGAGTCAGAGTCAAACGTATTGACCAGGAACGGCGGGAAGCTCAAAATTATAATATTATTATTACTATTCAATATTTACTGCAGTTGAACTACTACCACATGTGTGGCTCGAAGACAGACCTGTCGAAACATCAACTTGGTTGCCTAATGTACACAATGGTAATTACAAAGATTAATTACGAAATTGGTGCGAAGTTGTGTGAACGAAAAGAACGGACTACCTACTACATCTAAATGGTCCTTTTCCACTTTCCCATTATTGAGAGAGGGTCTATGTACAGTCACTTCCTCTTTCGCTTTGTATTTCGGACAAAAGTGGCTTTTTTCTCCTGTGTGGGCCAGCAGTGTGGTTCTCCCACTTCCCCCCCCGCCCCACCCTGCTCGGGTGGAAAGAATGGAGACAAGAGTCCTATACAGTGTGGTCCCCACCTCCCAGGTCAGGGCTCATACCTTACCTACCTTGTTATCATTATCTTCTGGATGTGGCAAGACAGGTGTTGCTACCTTGTCCACCCCCGAATAGAACACCTGGTCAGTATAACTGTATCTGGACTAGAAATTACCCCACGTAACAGCTGCAATGACTGGGCGTTCTATTTGGGTGAAGTCGGTAGTCCGAAACACCGCAAAGAGGGCCAGAAAGAGGTCTGAAATGACAGAGAAATTGGGGTGCGGAGTCGCAGAGAGTGGTAAGCAGGCGAAACCGGCGAGAAGTGCAGAGAAGGATGGGTTCAGCAGACCCCTGTAAAGAAATGGAAGGCATTTGCTGACCCCCCTTCTGCGCCAGTTTCATTTAAAGCTTCGATGTTAGAAAAGGTGCCGCATGTCCTGAGAACGAAGCTTCAGCTTTGGCACTGTCCCCTCCATTTGCTGGTACTGGCTTTGCTCCGTTGGCTGCTGCAACGGGACGAGACTGCAGCGAGATGAAAGACGAAGATTGCTCAGCTGTACAATTTTTGGCCTTTGCATTGGCAGGATCACCCCCTGACGCCCGACCCTCGCTCCCCGCGTCTCCCCCTGCGCCTTCTTCAGTGGTACTGTGACTCTTTCCCTGCTCAATCTCCGGCTTCGTGCCAGCAGTCCGCTCACCCGGAGCCCCCTCCGCTGCTCCTGCCCCCTCCACTGCTCCTGCATAGGGCAGCGATCCTGTCGATTCGCAGCGTATGGTGTCCGATGCGATATACTCAGGAGGAGATCGCAACGTGGCCCGCATGAACAGAGCGTCAGACTCGTCAACGTATTCCCTGTTGCTTCCATAGATCGCATCCGTTGCCGTGAATTCGTTACGAGTGGTCGAAAAGTTCGTGGGTTGGAAGGCTGCGAATTTCGTAGACTTCGACAGCCCTGCTGGTCCTGCTGGACACAAGAGATCACGGAAGACGCCGTGCTGTCCCGACTGTGACATCATGAGACATGAGGACAAGAATGCGCTTACAGCTGCTGAGTATTCGGTGGGGTGGAGTCTAAGATGACCTGCATTTTGGGACGGAAAAAAAACAGACGACCTGCATTAATTTTTGGTTTCCCGAACAGAAAGGGCGCATAATACAACACACAGGAGATGATATAAAACAAGTTAAGAACAGAAATGATTAGCAGCACACATTCGTTTTTCGTTCTCTTCAAAGTTCAAAGTGAAGGGACAGCGCCATCCGAGTGCAAAATCGAGTTTTTAAAAGCAGAAGTCAACACTCTGGTCAGAGGAGACAGTTTTGGAAGCGAAACACACTCAGGGTGGCAAGTCTGTTCTGCCCTGTCACCAGACACGTCAGGCAGGGTGGACAAGGTCCTGGCCCGCTACCAAGCAATAGACGTGTGGCTTGCCTGGCCAGAAAACGGGACCCGTGGGCCGCCCGGTCCACTTTGTGTGGGACCATCCAACTGAACGCAAAGGGTAGATGCCCCCTCCATGCCATTTTGCCATGTCCTTTCTGCCCCCCACCCCCTTGCTCTCTATGTTGCAGGTTCAAACGTGCACACACGCGCACACACACACATTCGAGGATGGAAAGAGAGAGAGATTTTGGGGTTTTAAAAACAGAGAGAGAGAGAGAGAGAGAGAGAGAGA